AATTTATAACATAAACATGTTATAAAATCACTACAAAAAAATAACCATTTTGTTTCAACACTTCTCGTGTCTTATTCAAGTGATGATGTTGAATACAAAACAAATGGTTTTAAATTTAAATTTGTTTTGCATTCAACATCATCACTTGATAAGGTACCGGGTGTGTTGAAACAAAATGGCTATTTTTGTAGTGATTTTATAACATGTTTATGTTATAAATTTTTAAATAAATAATTATGTCTGCTCTACTTTGCATTGAGCACTCTTTTAAGTATATAAAGAAACACGGTATATACAGAGACAATGGATAATTCTCTTACGTAAAGTGATACCTAGACAAGTAAACCGGCTGTGAAAGGACCTAATCATATCCTTTAAGTACCATAAATTATGCGTTAACTCTAATACCAACGCTAAAGTGATCAAGTTCCTTGACGCTGCATTTGACCTGAGTATAGGTATGTACAGACCATACACTAAGGATTTATACAACCACAGGTACGTCGACAGGTACGTATGTACAGACCATACACTAAGGATTTATACAACCACAGGTACGTCGACAGAAGCTCCAACCACAATAAATAGGATACTTGCCAATTTGCACAAATCGGTACAATACAGAATATCGATCAACTCCAGTAACAAAGAATTATTCAACGATGAGAAAGCGAGGTATAAAAAGCCACTAGAACGCAGCAACCGTAATGAGAAATTAAAGAGTGTAGAAAGAAATAACAATAAAGCCAGAAATAACTAAAGCAACTTAAGCGCAATATAACATGGTTCAACCAGCTATACCTCAATAATGTGAAACCCAATATACGTAGAATTCTCCTGATTTAGCTATACCTTTACAAAAAACAGATAATTACATACCCCAATATAACAATAATGTATTAAACAGGCTCCTAAACAAAACACTAAAAAAATAATCCTGCTAAAAGTCAATACAACTGCTATAAAAACGAAACCTGCTCATTAAATGGCCATTTCATGACTGAAGTCATAATATACAGAGCTAGGATCAATTCAGATGATAACGTTAAATATTACATTGGATCCACTGATAACAGCTGGAAATAGCGTTTTTACCACCACAAAATGACACTGCGCAATACCAAATGCAAAAACTGAACATCACCTTCAAAGTATGCTTTGCGATTAGAAAACAACTATAGGAAGCTAACCATTAACTGGGAGGCAATGGCGAAAGGTAAGCCATGCAGCGGAAAAGTAAACAGATGTAACTTGTGTTTGTTGGAGAAGTTTATTATATTAAAACACTTAAAAAATCCTAAATTGCTGAACACGAGTTCCGAAGTGATATCTACATGTGTCCGTAAATCTAAGCACTTGCTCAAACACACTGACCCCCATTAAAAGAGATTGCAAAAGAAATTTTATGAATGTTAATATAATATGCAACAACTATGGGTTCTTAGAACCCATCATTTATACCTTTTATATATATATATATATATATATATATATATATATATATATATATGCACATATCATTTCATATTACCGTACACGAATATTAATATAATATTCAGTAACTATGGGTTCTTAGAACACATCATTTAATAATTATATATATATATATATATATATATATATATATATATATATATATGATTTCCCATTTCCGTAC